AAGTTAATGTATTTTAGACTGTGTAATAATGTAGACTGTGTAAGACTGGGCTGTTTTTGACACTTCCTGTTTGTAAAAACCACAACAAGACGTCTGTTGAACCAGAATTTCAAGCTTATAGATTCAACAGTTGCAGGACGCGTGGAAGTTTTGTTTCCTGTTTAATGTTTTCTCATTAAACCCTGAAACTGTGCGGTAGGATTTGTCTGGAGCAGAGTTCTCTGTGAGGCAGAACTTTCTTCCAACTTCATGACAATCCCTGATTGCAGTCACGAGAAACATTTCMTCACAGTCCCTCTGTCCTGTTTCATCACAGCTTCCTCATTCTGGGAGGGTTCCTGCTGGTCCTGGTCTCAGTAAAACTCCCTGTGACCTGCACTGACAGGCTGAGCAGGTATCTCCACTCTGAGGCCATAATCAGTCTGCAGCTGATTAGCTTTCTCCTCCAAATCACTTAATCTCATTTGTCCTGTAGCTGTTTTGTCTTGTGTCCATCTGTCCTCTCATCATTTTATTAGTTTTCAATAGGAACAGCATCATATCTGATGAATGTTTAAAAAAACTTTCAGCTCAGGTGTTTTTGTCTCTTTCAATCAGTCAAGTTCGCGTGTCTCAGAACAACCGGAAGTAGCTGTTTCTTTCAAAGTAAAACGGTATTTCTGCAAATTCCACCACTGCTGGAGGACAATGTTTAACCTGTCTGTTAGCAAAATCTCTCAAGAAGCACTGAATGTTTTTAAGGAAACTTCAGGAAATAATAACTGAATGTTGATGCATGAGTGATCAGCTTTAGCCAACACCAAAGTGTCCTTAGCTCAGTCATCTTGACACTCGTGAAATTTGATGYGGTCGTAGTTGAGTCATTTTGTCTTTGTAAATTATACAAATTATGATTTTGTTCAGTGCAAACTACTCTGAGGATAGTTTTAAAATAACTAAATAGTACAACAACAAAACAAATAAAAAAACAAAAAAGTTAAAACAAACCTTTTGCAGYGGGCCTAAAATGTAGTACAGTTCAGAGATAATGAATGTTTATTGTAAGAAAATTATGACAAATCAACATCATGTATTTGTTGTTGAAAAAAGCTTTTTTGTTTCAGAAATGTTATTTTTTTAAATAAAAGTTTTATAGGAATTGTGTTTGATGTACTTATGTTGCTTTAAAGGTGAGTTATTTTTCTTTTTTTGTCATAAAGAGAACAAGAAAAAACAATGTGCTTGGCCTCTAAAATAAAAAAGGTTTCGATAAGAGTCTCTAACATGGTTTTTGCACAAGTTTGCACTGAAAACATGTTGACAGAAGCAAAGTGAGGGCTGTTCTCTGTTAAGTTGTGACACTCTGTCAAGAAAAAAGGAAATAGCCAAACAAAATGGGCAAGTATTTGTTTAAAAAAGTTTAAATAAACAAGAACTATTTCGACTTAGTGTTTGGGTGAATTAATGACTTCAAAATAATACTATTTGTGCGCTGATTACACGCAGGTCGTGACAGTGTTTCTGGTTTTATTTTGAAAAGCGTCACCGGAAGCGTTGCTTCTAGCTTGACCTTTGAGTCCAAACAGAAGCAGGTTGATGCTCGCGCTCAAAATAAACAGAAAAAAATAATAATTGAAAGGAAAACGGAGGTCGAGTTATTTTTTATTAACTCTTCCTGTTCTTGTTAGATCGACGCTGCTGAGATTTAATATATTTAAATATAT